CAATGGCCTATGATCGCTATGTGGCCATCTGCAAACCACTGCAGTACCACACCATGATGTCAAAGAAACTCTGCATTCAGATGACCACGGGGGCCTACATAGCTGGAAATATTCATCCCGCAATTCATGTAGGGTTTCTGTTTAGGCTGACTTTCTGCAGGTCTCATCAAATCAATCACTTTTTTTGTGATGTCCTTCCATTATACAGACTCTCCTGTGTGAACCCTTATATCAACAAACTGATGATATTTATTGTTTCAGGGTCACTTTCAGTCTTCACTATTACCATAGTCATAATCTCTTACCTTTTTATCCTTTTCACAATTTTAAAAATGAAATACAAAGAGGGAAAAGGCAAAGCCCTATCTACATGTGCATCCCATTTTCTCTCTGTCTCTATTTTCTATGGTTCCCTTCTCTTCATGTACATTCGACCAGATTCAGTTAACGAAGAGAATAAAGATATTATACCCATTGCTATTTTTTATACTTCAGTGATTCCTTTATTAAACCCTTTTATTTATAGTCTAAGAAATAGGGAAGTAATTAATATTATGAAGAAAATTATGAAGATTTCATAACATTCTACAACAAATCTCATTCCATGTGAACAAATGATTTTAATTTCATTAAAGCTTTTTCAAAATCAAGAAATACTGAGAAAATGGAAAATAGATACCTCACAAATAACATTAAATTATTAAAACAGGATGGCATAACAGTCAAATAAACAAGGTCAAAAGAAAATATGGTAAAATATATTCACAAATCTTAGCTACTAGGTTTCATCAGAAGTAAACTAAATAATCATCACTGAGGTCACAATCGTGTCACAGTATATTAGTTAAACTAGAAGCTGTATTTCAGAGTATAGTAAGTTACAATTTTCGACAAATTCAGCAAATGCCAGGAATTGAGGTCAATACATATAAAGGGCACCTTCATTTGGCAAATTTCTAGAATCCCAAGGCATAATCTTACAAACTTCCCCATAGCCAAGTTCTCAAATATTAGTGCCCTCTTAAGCATATGACAGAAGAAAAAACATATATCAACTTCACTTTCAATTATTTAGTTTGTTCAAAAGATTATGTTTAAGTATGAAATCTCACAGAATGTATATTGATTAATAAAAATTTTTTCTCTTTAGACTGAGTCAATTTAAACTCAAGTTCTCTGAAATACAGTATATGTACTTTGGTATACTATCAATCTGTACTTGAAGATGATGCTATTTATATTGACATCACTATGAATTTGACATCTTCATGTAGTTTCATTGATCATAATATATGACAGTGAAATTTCTGAATATATTCTTAAATAAAGTTTTTTTCTCTCTGATATTATTGCCTTTCTTGTTATTAGGAATACCACCAATCTGGACTGATTCCAGGGTAAATTACTGTATATGCATATCATTAACAAAAAGTTGGAGGTGCTTATTAGACATAAAGGAGGCAGAAAATAGTAAAAACTTAAATATCTAAACAATGATATTTATTGACACTAACATGTAAATATGGAAGAAAAAATAATTTACTGAAAATGTGCTTGAAGCTACATTAGACCTTTCATATATATTACCTTTAGTTCAATTCATAAAATGTGACTTTTCATGCTTTTCATCAGTAAAAATCTCATACTTTGCAATATTAAAGAGCTTGTCCAAGTTCATCCAGTTCATCAAATTCTGCCAGAATTTGAATCAGCACTACCTTTTCCCTACATGATTAGGAATTCAGAAAATGGAGATCCTTGCAGCCTAGGGTATTTAGCTCTTAAGTTGCATCAGAAGTAAAAATGCACCTTAAAAATGGGGGAAAAATGATTTTTGGAGGAAAATTAGAAATAGTTATGACTGATGTCAATGTTTATGGAAAACAGAATGGCTCTGGGAATGAGGATGAGGGAGGTGAACCATGGGATGGAATAAAAAAATGAACAAAACAATCAGAGAGAGCTATGGGTTAATGTGGGGAAAACAGGGAAGGTGCATCAGTTACTGAGAATTTTAAAGGCCACCCTAAAGAATCTGACTTAATCGTAGAGGCTGAAGTCCCCTTGGAGCAGAGCAATATGATTGTATATTTCAGAAACCTGATCTTGCAGCTAATCAGAAAGAGACTTAAAGCAAGAAGGATAATGTCAATAATTCATGTATTAGATGAGAAGAACTGAAACTGGAGAATAAATGAAGTGGAATGCACAGATAGAAACATTTTAATGAAAATAAATAGTAAACTGTAACTGTTGATAATAAAACAAAAGCCTATCTTCTCCCTGTGAAAATCAAACATGATGTAACTGATTCCATATCACCAATACTTAATAAGGTACCTGACACATTTGGACTTCAATAAATATTTCACGGAGGTCAAGTTTTTCTGGCAGAGTTTTTAGGCCTCCTTCTGAGCCCTCCTTCAATATATTTTAATATAATTGTGAAAATTAATGTAATAGGCTTATTATTTTTATTTTTGAATGAATTAGTAAATTTTAATTGCTTAGTTTTAATTTCTAACATTATAATATGGGTAGATATAATCCATATAAACAAAGTTCTTTACAGTCATAAGATACTTTATAAGCAAAAGAAATCTAGATACCCAAAATTATAAGAAGCCATGATAGTCTCTATTTTAATGATTATTTTTAGTTTTCAGGCTTGTATGCATTGATTTAGTTTCCCTTTCCTAAGGATACCAAAATTTGATCTATGAACCTCTGCATCACTCCCCAACCCTAAGCAATACTGGAACACCAGAGATCTGTTAAGAGAAGAATACGTGACTGATTGGGGGCTAATGAGACCAAAAAAAAAAAAAAGTTACTTTCTAGAACTATCTGGGAAATATGTATCATTTATTTGAAAATATGTTCACAAAAAAGATAGTGTCTCTCCCTCGAGTCATGGTATGTGACTACCGTGGTATCATAATATCTGGCACAATCTATGTGTATTTTTACTCACAGTCTTCAGGCATGTGACTTTACAGGATGGACCTGGTGGGCTTTGGCTAAGGATAGCACAACTAGATGTGTTTCTCCAGTAGTCATGTATAGATGACTATGGTTTTACCAGTGGTCATGTATGGATGTAAGAGTTGGACTATAAAGAAAGCTGAGCACTGAAGAATTGATGCTTTTGAACTGTGGTGTTGGAGAAGACTCTTGAGAGTCCCTTGGACTGCAAGGAGAT